ACATACCCAATTCCAGCAACCGTTCCTTATATGTTTTAGCCTCCAGTCCCCTAATCATCTTTGTTGCTCTTCTTTGTACTCTCTCTAGAGTCTCAGCATCTTTTTTACATCGTGGTGACCAAAACTGGATGCAGTATTCCAAGTGTGGCCTTACCAAGGCATTGTAAAATGGTATTAATACTTCACGTGATTTGGATTCTATCCCTCTGTTAATGCAACCTAGCACTGTGTTGGCTTTTTTGGCAGCTGCAGCACACTGCTGGCTCATAGTTAAATGATTGTCCACTAGGACTCCAAGATCCCTCTCACAGTTACTACTATTGAGCAAGGTACTCCCTATACTATACCTGTACATTTGGTTTTTCTTGCCTAAATGTAGAACCTTACCTTTTTCACCATTGAATTTCATTTTGTTAGATAGTGCCCAATGTTCAAGTCTGTCCAGATCCTCCTGAATCCTAAGCCTGTCTTCTGGAGTGTTGGCTATTCCTGCCAACTTGGTGTCATCTGCAAATTTGATGAGTTCCCCATCTATCCCCTTGTCCAGATCATTGATGAAGATGTTGAAGAGCACTGGGCCCAGAACAGAGCCCTGGAGCACCCCACTACGCATTTCCTTCCATGTAGCTGCAGTTCCATTGAGGACCACATGCTGAGTATGGCTGGTCAGCCAGCTACAGATCCATCTGGTGGTGATGCTGCCTAACCTGCATTTTTCTATATTATCAAGTAGTAGGTTGTGATCTACTTTGTCAAATACCTTACTGAAGTCCAAGTAAATTATATCCACAGTATTCCTCTGGTCCACTAATTTTGTCACTTGTTCAAAGAATGCAATAAGATTTGTCTGGCATGATCTGTTTTTGACAAACCCGTGTTGGCTTTTAGTAATGACTTTGTTTGCCTGTAGGTGTTTGCTGATTCGTTGTTTGATTATCTTTTCCAGAATCTTCCCAGGTATTGAGGTCAGGCTGATAGGTCTGTAATTTCCTGGATCCTTTTTTTTTTTTCCTTTTTTGAAGATGGGAACTACATCAGCTCTTTTCCAGTCCTCTGGTAGTTCCTCAGTGTTCCAGGATCTTTGAAAAATATAGTTCAGTGGTTCTGAGATCACATCTGCCAGTTCCTTGAGAACCTTGGGGTATAATCCATCTGGTCCTGGTGATTTGAACTTATCTAGGTTGGACAGGTGCTAACTTACTATTTTCTTGCCTACTTTAACTTGTGTTTCTAATCTGTTTTTTATGGTACTGTTTTTGATAGGTTAGACTGTTTTTCCCCTTTGTGTATAGACAGATGCAAAAAATGAGTTAAATAGTTCTGCTTTCTCCCTGTTGCTTGTCACCTTCTTGCCACTTTCACCCACTAATGGACCAATCGTTTCCTTCACTTTTTTCTTGTTTTTTACATGTTGAAAAAAGCTTTTTTTGTTGTTATTTTTGACTTTGGTTGCAAGCCTTAGTTCATTTTGAGCCTTAGCTTTCCTCACTTCGTCTTTGCAGGCTTGGGCTATTTGCTGATATTCTGACTTAGTTATGTGCCCTCTTTCCACTTTCTATACATGTCCTTTTTATCTTTCAATTGATCAAAGAGTTCTTTATGCAGCCATGCTGATTTCTTTTGAGAGCTGTTAGTTTTCCTCTTTGTTGGTATTGTGCTAGACTGGGCCTTTATTATCTCACTTTTCAAAATTTCCCAAGCCTCTTGAGTTGTTTTCCCCTGGAGGATTTTCATCCATGGAATCCTTCCCAAACCCTCTCTAAGTTTATTGAAATTAGCTCTCTTGAAGTCCAAGACTCTAGTTTGACTGTGTTCTGTTGCTTATGCTTCCATAAATGTTGAATTCCAATATTGCATGATCACTTCCTCCCAAGGTTCCTTTGGCTTCAACACCTTCTATCATTTCATCTCTGTAAGTGAGAATTAGGTCCAAAATGGCTAATCCCCTAGTTCCCTTCTCTACTTTTTGGGAAACAAAGTTGTCTGCTAAGTTTGTCAGGAATCTGTTCGATCTTCCACTTGGTGCAGAGTTTGTCTCCCAGTTGCTGTCAGTATAACTATCAGCTTTTTCATTCCCTTTTTTTCTGCACCTGGAGTGGGCAATCATACATGTTACAAAATCTCTTTTGGGATACATATATCTCCTTAGAGTAACCCAAGACTGAGCTACTGATATTTGGCAATTGGATTTTGTAATTTTTTTGTGGGGGAAAAAAATCACAACTTTAATAAGGCTCTCGTGTATTTGGTGTGCTTAGCACAATTTTAATTTAATTACCGCCAACACTGTCTTCTTCAGTATATCACTGCTTCATGATCATGTTCCCATCCACCCCCAGAGACTGCAAAATGCAGTACCTAGCCACAAAAAGAATGCCCGTTTCTGCTGCATGATGAACATAAGGACTGTCGCCAAACTATTAAATAAATATTTGAGCAAATGTTTTTTTTTATTTTATTATCGAGAGCCATATGAATTTACAGACTTTTTTTTCCACTAGCAAAAGTAAATATTTTCAATCAACAGGTAGAATGATAACCAGTTCCCCTCCCCCAACAGTAACTGAGCATGGTGCAATAGTTACGGATAAGACCAGGAAGACATCTATCTATCTATCTATCTATCTATCTATCTATCTATCTATCTATCATCTGTCAAAATTATTGGCCATCTATCTTACCCCAAGGTAACTCTGGGCCACTTACAATATTAAAAATAAAACTATATAAATAGAATGCTATAAAAATACAAAATACATTGATTCAGGCATACTTGCCCTGGGTCTTTCTGGGTTCACAAGGATTTGATAGAGGACATAGTACATCAGGTGGTACTTGTGAATTTTTTTTATTTATTGGCATGGCAAATAGTATAAAATAAAATACCCTCTATTTTCACTAGCTAGCACTCCTTTCCAAGATACTTATTACTAGATAAACCAAAAGTATCTTTCTACTTATCTGATACCACAGAAAAAGACAGGAGTAAAGAATCAGAGGCTTGAGTTGTTTTCAACAGGTAAATCATTTTAAAAATAATACATGAAGATTCTAGTTTCTGGCCAAGTTTACCTAGTTATATCTATAGTCTAATGTGTTAGCTAAATCTAAACAATACTATTTCTATGCTCTATTCCTATTTTCTGCTTAAAAATAAGGAAGGAGCTAATTATATTACCATTCTCTCTCTCCTTAATTGACATTGCCTCAATCTCTGAGTGGCCAAATTTGGTTTCTTCATTCTCTTCCACAGAGGCCATCTGCACTTGGTACATTTGTCCCTGTCATCAGGTCCTCCTCTGTTTCAGTGGTCTTCTTGACCCAGACCTCCCAAGAAAATGATCAGACTTCAGCAAGTCCATCTCAGGAGCTCCAGCCATCAACTTTTGTCTAAAACCAACAAGCTTCAGTAGCCAAACTGATTAAAATCCACCATAGTTTTGCCACCCATTACACCTCTATCCTGCCTCCTAAAAGTGCCTCCTCCTTTTCACAAGTCCATTTTTTTAAAAGACAGATCTGGCGGCTCAGCAGGGGGTCTTCTCTTCTTCTATGGGAAAAATCTTTCTGTGGAAAATTAGGTTGCTCTCTGCATCTAGCAGAATACTTGGTTTGGCTACATCATAGAATGCTTTCAAAGTACTCTCAGATATAGCAGCCAAGTGACTTTCATTTAGCCCAACCTACTTTTTAGGATTATTGTTATAGGAAAAATTGGAGCAATGTGTTCTATGCAGTGCTTTTTTTGAAGGAAAAAAAGATGCCGGAACTCACACACGTCATACAACCCGCCTTGCCTACCCTACAAGGTTCCATCCCAAAAAGGTGCCAGAACTTCCTTCTGGGCGTTCTATGACAAAAAAAGCCCTGGTTCTATGTGACTACCTTTAGCTCCCTGGGAGAGACGTTAAGCTGAGACAGCAACTACTCAGGTCACACAGTGAGTATCCTTTATTAAATTTGGACCTGAACTTGGCTCTCCATATGTGATTCTAACACTGAAAGCACTGTATTATAACAATAAAAGATCTTTTTAAAAAAAATAAGAAACATGAGTAGGAGAAGTATGAAGAAGGTTGCAATAGGAAACAACCATCAGTCCCAGCAGGCTGTACCAGCTCATGGAAACTCAGGAACAATATTAGCAAACCATCATCTATATTATCCAGAGAAGCAGAGCGGAGGCCTAGAGGTGAATTATTTCGCCTCCCCACTCGAAAGGTTGAGAGTTTAATCCTAGGGAGCAACATATGTTTCTCTATCAGGGCACAAACATAAAATATCTGCTGCGAACTCTGCGTAGGCATCAGGAAGGGCATCCAGGCAATAAATGCTCAGCTCCACTTAGTTACTCTGAACCCATCCCGAAGGAAGGAATTAGGGTCATAAAAAGAAAAAAAAAATCTATATCATCTTGAGAGTAAGGTAGATAACCAGAAAGTTTTATTGTTGGGGAAGAGGAGGTGTTCAAGTTGGAAAATAGGCATGCTGTTTATTTGAGATCTATACTGGAATGTTGATTTTTGAGCAAATAGGTTTGTGGAAGGTCACATATATATTGGACTTACAGTAAGTTATTAAGATTTTTTTTACAACACTATTTTGACCTTTTTCTTCTTAGCAAACTTTTGGCTAGGGTCCAACCTAACTATGTATGTCACAGTCCATTCATTTGGCATCTTTTAATCCTACCTGCTAATCAGCATTCTTGATACAGACTTCAGATGTTATATGAATAATAGACAACTTTATGATTTGCATGAGTTTTTCTGCCTTCATATGTTGATATATTTTAAAAAATAGATTTGTGCAGTAATAAATCTATACAATACAAGGTTATCAACAGGTAAATTGTTTTATCTATCCCTTTGATGGTTTGGATGGTTCAGTAATATTTTATTTAAGTCAAATATTCAGAGCTGGGGATTTCAAACCTTTCTTTTTTCCTTCTGATTCTCAATGCTTGATGTGCTTAGCCTCACTTGCCAAGCCAACTAATCCTCATCCCTGAATTACCAAAAATTTACTAAGCTCCATTCTATGCCTTCAGGGGAAAAAATTCCCAGGCACCATCTCTCAGCCTATCAAATGTTTCCAGCAATACAAACTGCCTAAGCATTTTTAAAATTACAAGCTAAGAGGCCTAGGATCCAATGCAGGCAGCAAATCTGAAAAAAGAATATGAGAAAAATATGCTGAATGGCGTTTTCAGGGAAGGTGTGTCTGTTTTTTATTGCTGTATAAGTTTGCCTTCGATATAGAATTTCTATGCAAAAACATTTCTGGGCACCTCCCTTTGCAGCAGACACCCTAAGTTTCAGATCGTCAGGCAATTTTCTCTGCTTAAGTGACATAGTACTGTATGCTGCTGTTAAAAAGGAGGTGACATGGGAAAGGTAGCAATTGAGTCTTTTCCCCCCTCTCCCTAGCAAAAGCGAAGAGTTTTTGAACATTGTGATAAAGATACTACATTGGTAAAGGAAAACATTCAAGTTTTCATCCTGCTTATTCAAGATTTCTGTGTTATTTAGGTTTTATCAATCTTTTATCCATCAACATCACTCCTTGTCCAGCCCATTTTTTGTAAATTATCCTACATTCTCTCTGACAGCTTTGTGTGACATATTCAGCTGCATCTCACGCAAACTATACAAACAAAAAAGAAAAAAGGAAACTTGGGACATCCCTGTTTTTCGGGATCTTAGCATACCATCTTAAAATGCATGAGTGAGCGGAGGATCACATAGGTCATCTAATCCAAACTCCTGCTTATTATAGGAATCCAGTAAATCATTTTATCTCTGTGGCAGTAACTGGAAGAGAAGATTATGTGATGGTGACTACAATTCTTAATTAAAGTAAGATACTTACCGAAGGTGAGGATTTATTTCATCATGCAAGACTTTGTCTCAGTAGAAAGACATCACAAGAATCTGCTATAGCAGGAAACCATAATCTTGGGGAGTTTCACAAATCTTTGTCATAGTGGGCATGGCCAGTCATAGGACATCCACTTAGAAGAAGGTGGATTGTTGAATTTGGTCCCCCTTATCCTCATGTCATGAGAATGCTGTCTATTACAACAACTTACCTCTGTATTACTTTCCAAGCAGAAAAAAAACATCAATTATTTCTACTTTACCGTACTGTCATCAATAAAAATTATGTTAGGCACTGGCATTTTGTAGCATATTAATTTCCTACTTATTTATCAAGTGGGACAAGAAGCCTAATGGTTGTCAAGGGAGGCATTCTGAGCACACTATCTTGTAAAATACCTTTGCTCAAGGGAATAATAACACCATCTATAGGGCTGCTATAAGCAAACAATCAGAGCTGTAGCAGAAATAGGAGCAGCCATTTGAGTTCATACAGCAGCCATTTTGACAGCTTTAATCAGTGTATTCATAAACAGCACAGCTGGAACAGAAATCTACAGAATGACAGTATAAGGCAGATAATTCTTTTCCAGGTACATTTCAGTAGCTTGAACATACATGTACACATAATAAAAACTTTTACACAGATGCAGTGTTTTCGAATCTAGAGCTATTTGCCCTGTCAGAATTAAGATTTGGGAATAAAATCCTCATTTACTCATAAATAAGACTATGATTTCCACTCACAAATTTTATTTTTCATGCTAGAATCTTATTTTTTTATCACCCGCATAATAAGTAAAAAAAATCAAGTCAATAAAGCATTTCTTAGCACGTGCTAGAAAAAAGTGTAGATACTGAATCATTACTTGACACAAATTTTATTTAAGGAGTAAGAATCTCACATTGGAATTTAAGAAAAAAAACTCAAATCCCAGATGTCTATCTAATCCTAACTTTTTACTTCCCAGAATAAGCAACCAGATATCATTGGAAGCCTGAACATGTGGTAAGAAAACAGCAGACTTTTCACACTATTGTTTCTCAGAAATTTATATCTATGTACATTTTATCTAAGTATGGAAATTCATATAGTTAAATGAAATTATATTCTAACTGTGACATCCTATTTACAATTATATCACAAAGCATTTGACCTCATATGCCATTCTCAAAGGATTTCAAGAAGTTAGATTTTACTTAAGATAATATCACTCAGTAAGATAAAAAGACATTAACCTGCTTTTAGGAAATAAATACTTGCTTATTCCTAAAACATTTTACAAAAGAAGCATTAGATGTAACTGCCCAGTAAGCAGTAAGCATGTTAAAATTAATATAATCTTAAGATCAGATAAAGTGACTAAGAAGAATTACACAATGGGAGAAAATAGGTGAGATTTTAACTCTAAGCAAGTCCACTGTGCTTGAACCATAATCTCTCCACATACCTTTTTCACCTTGCAAACTATCTTTATTTCGGCTTTATAAATTGGCATCTGGTTTGAAAACAGAAAATAGAATAAGAATAAATAGACAAGGAGAGATGTCAAAATATCTCCTCCTATAATTAATATACAGACAGACAGACAGACAGACAGACAGACAGACAGACATAGTGATTTGTTGATAATATCCAACAGTGGAGAGTGGTCAAATCAAAAAGGGTTTGTGAAGTCCTCCAAAAAGGTATCTACAGGTTGGGTTCAAAATCACAACTGTAGTTCAGTGTAACCTGGTATTTCACCTTGGCACTATGTCATAATGGGATCTTAGCTCACAGTAATGGAATAAGATAGGGATCTTGGAGTCAAAGTAGCCAGCTTAATGAAAATATCCACTCTGTGTACATCACTCTGTATGATGTAAAAAAGACAAGTTCTATTGAAAACATGCAAAAAACAGTAAGTACTCCACAAGGAAACATAACAACCACATTGTAAGTACTGCCCAGAAGAAGAAGAATTGGAGAAGATCTTGATGTTTAGAAAAAGAAAATACAATTGAAAAAGAGGCCAGATGCTGAGATGAACAAACATGAACTTATGAGAACTCAAAGCAGTTACTGACATGCAGGACTAGCAAAATGATGTCCATCAGGTCAGGAAGAATTGGAAGTGACTAAGCAATGACAAAAAATATGGAATAACAGAGGGTAAGGATAGACATGTGACAGGCCATATGAAAAGACTCTTTGAACCCTCTTATGTTAAAACTCAGTCATCTATTGAAAATAAATGCTGAAGATGCATAAAGAAATATGTTTTTATTCAGAATGTAGTTATAAGATAGAATATGGTGTCAGTGGTTACTGAAATGGTAGCCAATTTGGATAATTATTAAAAGCTATTGGATAGGTTCATAAGGAATCAGAATATTAATAGGTATAAATATTCTTCTGAATATCTTAAATATTAGTTACTGGAAAAACTGAAAGGGGGCCCTATTACTTTTTAGTCACAGTGCCTGAACGTCCTAAATGCATCCTGTAGATTACTCTGAAATAAAGTATTTTGGACTGTATGGGCCTATAGTCTGATCCTGCAGCACTCTTATGCTCTTAAGTAAGTTAAGGTATCCTTGAGTTAACCTTGATGTTTGACAACTATGTTGTCTTTTTAATGAGTTTATTTTCTTCTATCATTTTTTTAAAAAAACTTTCCAGTATATTTTACCATTCTGGGTAGTCTCCCTAGTGGTCTTCCATCCAAGTACTAGCCAAGTCTAATTCTGCTTACTTTTCAAAATCAGCCAAGATTGATTATATGTTGTTTTCTACTGGGATACAGGCCTAAAGATAGCCTAAATATAGTATGATGCAACCCCCATTATTTGGGGTATTTTGGAAAGATATGTTTTTGCACTAAAGATAAAACCTGTATATAATGTAATATGTACATATGACAATTGGTTGCAATTTGTTTTTGAACAAAAAAGAAGATAGACTTTGTGTAACAGATGGCTTATTTTCAGGTGAATGGACTTAATAAACCTGGACATCTCTACATTTTTTCAAAAGGACTCTTCCAATTCCTTCTGTATAAGATACTAATGGACCATCTGACAGACTAATTGCAAGAGAGAGATTTTTTAGATGAATTCTTTGAGACAGATGCATAGTGAAAATTCCAAGGAAAAAGGGGACGATTGTCATTAAATGCCCTGTGTTTAACAATGAAAGATACTTATGATATTATTTTCTAATTTTTTTGTCTGTTAAAATATGGGTAGGCATATGAGGGAATGGTTTATTTTAAAGAAAATAATTTAATCTATTGCATTAGCATTCGGATTAGTCCAGGCATTTTTCTAATTGCCTGATAAATGTGCCCCAATCTATATACAGCAAAGACAACAACAATAAAGAAAAAAAGATGTCCATGCATATGTAGGTTAATGGATTATTGTATATAGATGAAGGCTTTATGTAGTTAAAGATAAAAAGGATTGCAACATTTTATATGTCTTTACTTCTCCAACCAGACTTATTTATTGAAACAGATATTGGTGAAACAGTAGCTCCCATTTCATTTCATTGTATATGATCTATCTGTTTATATGATTCTAGAACTGCTTCACTACACTAATTATCAAAGTAGATTTGAAGCCAGCATGACAAATCTCATATGTTGAAAAAAGTATAAGAAAAATAAACCATGTATAAATACATAATACTGTTGTTTTAAAACTTCATTTTTCAATGTGGCACTCCCAAGGTGAGTGAAGACCACAACTCTCAGAATTTCTAGCCAGCAGAATTGCAAATTTCAACAGCTCTTGAGGGTATTGATAGGAAGGTTGTTCTAGAATTTTCCTAGAATGCTAAATTTCTTAGAAGTAACACCAAAAAGGATGGGAAAGTGTTAGGAGAAACAAACTGCAGCAACAGGCCTTGTTTAAGGTGGTTGCAATGGTGATTCATGCTTTCATCAATTTTGGCTAGGCTTCTGCAGTATATTGTACTTGAGGTACCTTGAAGACCACCCCAAAACAACAGTTGGTGCAAAATGCAATGGCCTGGTTACTCTCAGGTATTATCCACAAAAGCACTTTGCTTTGGGGGCTACACTAGTTGCCTATGGGCTCAATTCCAAGTGTTATTTTTGGCCTCAAAAGCTATATATGGTTTCGTGGCTAGATGCCATCATCTCCTACCTGAATCTCCTCATCCAATGCATCCTTGCTGAGACAAGAATGGTCACACCCTATTCCATAAAGCAAAGGAAGCAAATGTCAGGAGATACTGTTTCTCAGCTGTAGATTTAGACCAGGGATGTCAAACTGCCGGCCTGTTGGCTGGATGCGTCATGCCAAAACCACGCCCACCCCAGCTCTGGCAATGGGGAAAAAGTCACAATATGTCGTGACATGTCACGTGACATGGTGAGTTTGACACCCCTGATCTAACTCAAAGAATACTTTCCCTTAGAATTAAGACTTGCTGCATCCATTTTCTCCAAGCTATTGCAGATGCTTGGTGGAATCATTTCTTACTGATATATAATTCACTGCAGATTATTAACATTGGTTTAATTCCTGATCAGATCCAGTTTTATTTATTTTTATTATCACTATTATTTTTATTTATCCTTATAGCATAAGTTTGATTAGTCATTTTAATGCATTTATATTTACTATGACTGTTTTTACTGTTCTAAGCATTTTGTTGATCATTTTGCAAAATACAGAATCTGTACTGACTCAGCAGTATACAAATTAAATAAACCATAATGGCCTTATGAGCATGTTTTTGTTTGTGGTTTTTTTTTTTTTTGCTTTGTAAATGTGTACATCTAAAGCAGTAGGCAGTCTCTGAATATGTTAGGAAACCATTTTCAGAATTCTTAGCCAGCTTGGTTGGAAAAGGACATGCTAGCAGGGAATTCTGGCAACTGTTCTGTATATATAGTGGCACCAGACTGGAATATGTTCTAAAACGTCCTGTGCAAACCCTTTAAAATAGAAATAAGCCTGAAAAGGATGAAGCAATAATTAAAGGGTGTATCTATTTGCTTTGTCTGGGGTGACAAAATTTGGAGAAGAGGCAGTTTTAATCAGAAAAACAGTGTAGGGAAAATAATTAGCCCCTTTCTGCAAGAACTGTGAATCACAGTCAGATTTATTCAATTGCACACATACACACACCCTCTTATAGAATCAAGCAGCTGGTTTGATCTTCAAAGGCATAAGGGGCTGTGTTAGGTTTAGTTTTATATTCAGTGATACACAAAGAAGAGACATTCAGGGAGCTTGGCACAAAAGGTAATTAATGGAAGTGAATTTCTAATCTCAACTTTCATTGTATCCATGGTGGAGGGAAACAAAAATCTAATGAGCTAATAGGTGGCTTTAACTTGACTTATAGGTAGGCCACTGTTGAGAAACTGGCTTATCCTCAACAATTATGATAGGTTATCTTTCAACAGCAAAAAAGTCAGCAGAATACTATGGGAAAAAATAGGCATAAATATTATCCACAGTTTGAGAGAGTCAGACACTCCCACTCTGCTGAAAGATAAATGGGAACTAATGCTCAATAATAACTTCTTCTCTTTCCCCATTTTAGTATCTATCTGAACCCTCTTTTCACCACACCTCCATCATTTTCAGCTGCTCTCTTCACTCCACTTCACTCTCTTCCCATGTACTTAACTCCACCCTTCCTATTACTGCTTAGCTATCTATCTGAATTTATACTCAGAAGCTTGTTTGTTTTAGCCTACATATGGCATTAAATGTTTTATATTTTATTTTTTATCATCAATAATTTGTTGTAATGTCTCTATATAATGTATATTTCTAAAAAGCAAATATTTGCAAAAAATGGCCCTAAATTTACAAAATAATTATTAAAATTATATCCAAGAGTTTAATGGCTAAAATAACCCATCAATGCTGCCACATATTAGTCCTTCACCCTCTTTTAATATAGACAAGAAACACTTGGAACATTTCCCACATAAGAACTGGGATACCATATAAAATCCAATCTTCTCTCAGCCAACTGGAAATTGGTGCAGGTCTAATGTTTAGAAGTGGTCAGATATGGACTACTTTTATTTAATACATTGACATTTGAATTAGCCCTTGGACTCTGTTAACAGCAATTATTTTACCAAGGTCCACTCCAGTTCCTTACCTTTTCTATGACAAATGGGTCTGTTGGAACAGCTTTGTGGGAAATCATTAACTGTTCTTATATGAACTACATCCATCTGAAATCTCTCCTGCTGTCTAAATTATGATGCCTAAAGCATTACACAGCATGAAAATTAAAACCTGAATATTGTCCATTTATTTTATCTTTAATTTTTAATAATCTTATGACAAGGGTTTCTCCGATACTTCAAAATTTACTTTTTAAGCATGTCTCCTAAAAAGCATGCAATAGTTCATATTCTAGCAACCATTTGTTTTTTGAGACATGTTAAACATAGCCCCAGTTGAAACATGGAAGCCAATAAAATGCATTGTCTTCACCTAAAAATAATGCTGGCATCACATTCCAAGCGGTATGTTTGGAAGACCTTTGCCATACGAATCATACAGTTATGCAGGTCACCAAGCAACTACAGAGACTTTGAGATGAGGGCTGCCACTTTGCTAAGTAAGCTAATTTCGGTTATTAGAGAGCTTTTTTTTTTCCTTCTTCGTCCCAGAGCTGGTCACAAGGCTTGAAGAGAAACGAGAAGTGATTCGGTCAACGCGCCAATCTCTCCGCAACTCCCCGCCCTTCGCCCACCGGCCCCCGAAGTCCGCCCGAACCGCCGGCTCACCATTCAAGATGCTCTGGAACAAGAGGGCGGCCAGCCTCCACATGCCCTGCGCCTTGCTCGCCTCCCAGCCACGTCTGGGCTCCGCTAGCCGCCCGCTTCCTCTCCCGCAAGGCTCCCGCAGCCAACCAAGAGGGGACCAGCCCTGCTCCTGCCTCGGCGCCCTTCCAGCCGACGCGCTGCCCGCCTCGCCTTCAGCGCCTCTTCGCCGCGGACTCTGCCTTTCTCTGGCACGGAGATGCAGCTCGGGGCGAAAGGGAGGCGGCCGCGGGCACCTCAGGTGGGTCCTCCTTCCTGGCCCAGGTACACGCTGGCAGGTTGGCAGGAGCAGGTCCACAGGTGAAGCCGCCCTCCAGCGCAGGCAGAGGACCGTCCCTGGTCATATCCGGCCCTTTCTCTGCGGCAAGCAGGCAGGCAGCTCCCCGCGCACCACCCTTCAGCCACCGCAGCCAGGCAGCAGGCGCATCTTTCCTCTCCTACCGCCTTAATCACATTGGTCCCTCTGCTAACCTTCCCTGCCTGGCGGAGAGCATTAACCCCCTCGCCAGCCTCCTCCGCCAGTCGCAGCCCTCGCTCCGATCTTCAGGCGGGAGGAGAGAGAGGGTGGGAGGGAGGGGGAGAGAGGGAGAGTGTGAAAGAGAAAGACCCAGCCGGCCAGAGCAATTGCTGGAGCTGCACAGACCTCCCCTCCTTTGCTGAAGCATGAATAAATTTAAAAGGAGGAGTTGATTTATCTCTTCCTGAGCTGAAGTGTCATTTCTTGCAGGTGAGAGCAGCAGATAGAGTATCTTGTGAGCTGAGTAAAAAAAAAAAACACACACACACAATGACAGACCCTGACTTAACAGAAAGCAAGTTACAGTTTTAACAGACAATACCTTACCCTTTTTAAATGACTATTTTCTACATTTGAAAATGAACAGAGATGACCAAATAACCTGTTATGCTGCAAGTATATACTAGGGTAAACATACTCAGATGCTTTCTTCTCCTCTAAGACTACTTTTCTAGTCTGACATTCTTCAGACTAATTTGAAATGATGGGAATAGGTGGCAGCAGCTACCGGTAGCTGACCTTGACTCATCTCAAGAAGCTAAGGAGCTTGAAACCTGGTTTACTAAGGTTAGTACCTAGGTGAAAGAACTACAGGAAAGCCACGGGCTAAAATCTAGAATAGGAAATTAAAATTTGGAAGATGCCAATAACAAGTCATTTCTTATTTACTGTTTCCTTGTAGTCACAAGAAGTTAAACTCAAATTTGGACATATTTAACTAAATCCCTATTTGATATTCTTCATGGTGATTAAGAATGATGGGAATTGCATATTTAGAAAAGACTATATGTAGCTCAGGGTTGAACGGTGTAATAGTCTAATCTACAACAAGTACACAGCCATACTAGGTACGACAGTGACTTGTGTACAGCTAGTATATAAGAACCAGACATTGCAAAAGAACCAGAAGCCAAATATTAAAATTTGATATTGGCCGTACAATCCTTTGTTACATACAACATCATTTAATCTCCCTCAAGTGATATTTTATATGTAAATCTCAACATATGAGAAATAGTGAACACACCTTTTCAGTTATGCTAGTGATACCACTGAAAAAAAAACAATATGGGTGTCTGCAGTCAGTATCCTTATAAATACTTCCATATTTATTCCATATTCTGTTAATGTGGTCAGGAGGAGGTACTCATCAGAAGAGGTACTCATCAGACTTCCTACAAATAGTTCCATAAACAAACATATCATTTGAATATTGCTTTGAATGAAACAAGCAGAATTATTATCAGATGACTTAAACCTACCCCTCTAGATAAGATCTACCACTTAGCCAACATTGTCCCACCTGCAGAGAAGCAGCAGCATACAGAGAGAGGCTTAAATCATCCATATCTAGATAACACCCTACAACCAACTCATCAGAGATTAAAATCCAGGCAGAGCTTCCTTAGGCCGAGGGAAGTCTTTGAAGAATTTGAAAGCAGAGTGGATCTATGGAAAGCTACAAAGAACCAACACTGGATGGAACCCACGGAGGAGCTGGCACTTGAGTGTAACAAAAGCTGAGAAGTATGGAAATCATTGAATAGACTGTGCATGCGTTCAATAAGATCCAGAGACATTCTAAACAAATGGGGCTATCCGGTGGTTTCTGCCCTTTGCGATTGTGGTGACATGCAGACAACAATACATATTTACATTTGCTCTTTGTGCCCTGATAATGTACACTTGAGGACCACATGGTAGTGCAACAGAGTGCAATTAATATTGCTAGTTTCTGGGCAACATCTGTTTAACTTGTACATAATCCTGTATTTTATATTTTTCAATTTTATATAGTATGCCTTATTTGAATTATGATGCTTCTGACACAAATAAACAAACATCTGAATGTTAATCATCCTCAGCAAGGTATATAGTATGTCATCTAGTCAGACTGTTCAACTATACACTGTACAACTGATTAGTTTCAATTCAAAAGAATAAATGGTCATGTATCTGATACTAAAAATGATCATTTAAAAAAAACAAGGAATATTTCATTTCTTCAGGATATTCTCTTTCTGACCTCAGGGAATTAATTCTAGAGAAGTGATTACAGTAATTGATTTTATTTTTAGAAGATTTAAACACCATTTCTCAAAGATTAAACAAAACCAAGATTTCTTATCATACTACATATGTTAACCAATAATTCAGTGCTGAAATCTGTATGTTATATCTAATGATGCTTTATTACCATTCACCTAGGTAATTCTCATTATAACTTGCCTCTCTGGTTATTATTTTCACATCATTACTACATGTATGTGACACTTCTTTCATGCTTCTGATAAAAGCTTATATAATCAACTCATCATTAGCATCCACCAAGGTTTTCATGGGTTTTACTACAAACACGACTTTCACTTTGGTGTTTCAGTACATTAAAATTTCCCATTTTATGGAACAATTAATCAGTAGAATGACTTGTCTCCAGAAGTTGTGGGTGCTCCAACAATGGAGGTTTTTAAGAAGAGATTCAACAACCATTTGTCTGAAATTTCCTGCTTAAGCAGGCTGTTGGACTAAAAGATCTCCAAGATCCCTTCCATCTCTGTTATTCTGTTACTTTGTTATTATTCCTTCCTTCCTATACCAACAAGTTTCTCTTAAGTTCAGCACCTTTTCCCCATAGAATAATATGGAAATAGAGGTTTAGTTCAAGTAATTATGAACTTATTTTCTTGTTTCTCTCTTCCATGAAAGGTTTTTCAGTCTGCCAAGAATACAAACATACTTTCAAAGGGAATCCTATTTGATTTTGCTGTACTTGGGTAGTGTTTTTGCTACCTAAACCTCAATACATGAAAATGTCCTCAAAGGAGCAGAAGACCCAAGTAGTATTCAGAGTTCCCCATGCATTTCCCATTAATAGCGTACTTTTTTTCAAGAAAAATGAAAAACATGCCTATTACTTAGTGCTGTGTAACATCCCAAACAAAATGGGCTAACCCAAATTTATGAAATAAAATGAAGTTATTGGAAAACGAAAAGCAATTTTAAAGAATGACAGACAATTCTAATATGTTTTGTATTTTGTTTGTACAATATCTTGTGCAGTGTAGAATTAAACTATGTTGTATGCAGTTTTCTGATCTTAACTTGACACTCTCCAGGTTTCTGGCTATAGTCATAAATTCTTTAATAAATTGACCCCCAGTGACTCAAAAGATCCATTTATTCTTTTTACTGCTTTGTGACCATTCTAATCAACCAGGAAGTTACTTGGACTCTACCATCCCATAACCCGCTCACATAAAGAGAGTTCAGAGGGATGTTCTCATTGCCTGTCCCTCGTGTGAATTTACCAGTCCTAAAAAAACTCAGCTAGAATATCATTTATCTTGATAAAATGTCCTTGTTTGGCTTCGAGCAATGGCAGATCAGTGTACATTTGCCCTCCCTCCCATTTTAGGGTACTTAATTGCCTTAAATCAAGCATTGACAACTCACAGTTTATAGACTACATACAACCTCTGAGTTCCCTTTTTATAGCCTTGCAATACTCAAGAAATACACCACTGAAATTTGACAGCAAACTAGATCAAAATACAGGGGCATAATTTCTCACCAATTTTCTGAGGGACACAAAAAAATAGATGTGTTATGCTTCCCACCAACTTAATATTAACCGCCTCCAAAACAGCAACAAAGAGAAAGTTGGACATTATTCCATGCTTTTGTGGCCTTCTGAAAGCCACATTCTATACATACAGAGACCATCTTAAGTCTTGTTTCAATAAAAATGTCAGAACCGGACAAGTACCTTGGCTGGTAAGCAATGGAATGCACTTCAAACTAAACATTTAAGAGGACTCTGGCAAGATCAGATGCAAAACACATTTTGGAAAGCTTGAAAGGACAGTAGTATAGCAGCATCTTTCTAATTGTAGAGGATTTTGAAGGAGTTGGCATATGTAATTTCAGAACCACTGAATGAAATCTTTAACATTCATGTAGCACAGAGGAAATAACAGAGGACTGGAAAAGAGCTGATGTGGTTCCAATCTACAAAAGGAGGGGGTGCATCCAGGAAATTATAAGCCAATCAGTTTGACATCAATACCTGGGGAAATCCTGGAAAAGACGATCAAGTGGAGGATTTGTGAGCACCTAGAAACGAACAAGGTGATGAAGCTAGCATGGGTTTGATAAAAACAGATCATGTCAGACAAAGCTTATTGCCTTTTTTGATTAAGTAACTAAATTAGTGGATCAGTGAAATAGTATAGTATACTTGGCCTTCAGTAAGGCATTTGACAAAGTAGATCACAACCTCCTTCTAAGTAAGATAGAACAATGTGGGATAAATACAACCACCACTACATGGATTTGCAATTGACTGACTAACCACACTCAGCATATAGTCCTCAGTGAAACTACATCTACACGGAGGAAAGTATTGCAGTGGGCTACCTCAAGGTTCAGTCTTGGCCCCAGCTCTTTTCAATATCTTCTTAAGTGATCAAGAGGAGGAAATGGAAGGGGAACTCATCAATACCAAACTGGAGAAATAACCAATACCAGGCTCAAGATCCAGAAGGATCTTGACAGATTTGAGCATTGGATCCTATCCAAAAAGATGCAGTTCAATGGTGAGAAAAGTAAGGTCCCACACTTAGGCAGGAAAAATTAAATGCATAGGTATAGACTAGGTGGCACTTTGCTCAATATAGTAATTTGAGAGGAATCTACAGTAGGTGTCCTTAAGAATGAGCCAGCAGTGTGCTATAGCTGCCAAAAAAAAGCTGTATCAACATAGGGATAGCATCAAGATGAGAAGTGATAGAACCACTTTACACTACACTAATGAGACCACACTTGGAATATTGCATCCAGCTCTGGTCACCACAATACAAAAAAAAATGTTGAGACCCTGGAAAGTGTGCAGAAAAGAGCAACAAAAATAATAAAGGGCCCTGAGGCTAAGTTGTATGATGAATGGCCAGGTTGTCTAGCCTATCATAGAGAAGGATTAGACTGCAGTGTTTCTCAACCTTGACAATTTTAAGGCATGTGGACTT